CCCTTCATCTTCAACTTCAATGGCGTTGGAAAATTGAAACTTCGTAGGCGACAGAGCAGATAACTGTCTTCTGGATACTGTCTTATTTTTGGAATCTTCTGCGATAACTTTAGTGAATAGCTTCAGTAACTTTGTTCTTCCTCCTAGAAGTGCCTTTGGACTTTTCATTTTATTCTAATATTAAAAAAAAAAAACGAAGAAATATAACCAGCTGAAATAATGAATGGCAAACATTTTTTACATGACTTTAATTGGTTATAGAAATAACCGGTTATATTGCGGCGCAGTACAATGTCCGAACTGCGGTTATCCCTGAGGTCTCTGTTTAGACATCTAGACAATAATGCTGCCTTCTTTGACGTTTTGAAAAAATTTCTGAACTCTCGTCCGACATTAATCTTTTGGTTTTATCAAGTTTAAACTAATGTTTTTTAATAATGAAGATTTAAACATCAGTTCTCCATATTACCATATTACCAGTATTTAATTTTTTATATACATAACTTATTAAACTAAATTCATTAATAGAAAAAAAATTTTTTTAATTATATAAAAATTACATATCCAGAATATAAAGAACATTTAAATATTTTTTTTTCAACAATAGCTTAATTATTTTAAGTTTTAATGAGTAAAAATCTTTTTAAACTATAATAAAATAAAATAATATAATATAATATAATAATTTAATTTAATATAATAATAATAATAATTTTTTTTTTTTTTATATAATTAACAAGCTTGTACTGTTTATTAAATTCTTTTGTAAAAAACAAATAATATATAATTCATTAAGTATTGTATTAAATATATAAACTATTTTATAAACTTGAACATTTATTTTAAATAATTATTTTTAAGTATAATTTTGAAAATAAATAAAATTGATTATTTTTATTCTTTTTTATTAAGAAAGTAAATTTAGAAAATTATAATTCATACATTATTACTATAGTTTATCTTAACAAAATTTTAATTACTTCTATATTTATATTTATTTTCTTTTTTTTTGATTTATTTTTATATTATTAATGTTTTTTATAAGTTTCTATTAATGTTTTTTTATTATAAATATTCTAAAAAACTTGTAATATTTTTTATTTTTTTAAGATTTTCTTATATTTGTATTATTTTTTTTAAACTTAAACTTTTTTTAAAAAATTTTGAATTTTGAATTTTATTATTATTATTATATATATATTTTGAATTTTTTTTTTTTTTTTTTGTAAGTAAATATCATTTCTTTATTTAATTTGTATATAGCATAATATATATCATGAAAAAAACAACATCTCTTATATGTTAATACAATGAGTCAAATGCTAGCTTGCTTACAGTAACTATATGACTAATATTGAAAAGAAAGTTTAAAACAATATATCTTGCCGGATGGCACCAAGTTGTTATAAATACCTACTCAGTATTAAGAGAAATAAAGTTGAAATTAACAGATAGAGTTGTTAAGCTATAAATACATTTGGAGTAATTATATTTAGATTGGATGAATGAATTAGCAACAGTAGAAGGTAAGTCGATGATAATGTTGTCTTGTGAGTTATTAGAGTTGTCTTTGATTTGCGAGAGTTTTTTGGTTTCTGAATTGGTGAAGTTAATTGAATTATGTGACTTAGTATAGTTCCACTTAATTCTAATAAGAAATAAAGTGTTGGCTGTGAAGCAACGTGATTTCCAAATTAGATCATATAGCAAGATTAAAGATTCTATTGTTGCCTTGATCCAGTTAGTAGAGGTTGAAGTGAAGAAAATTTTATCTGTGACTTCACATAACAATTTAATGACTTGTCATATATATAAAATTGGCTTGTGATTATTGTCTAGATGGAGAGTCTGGTTAATAGTTTTTATGATTTGTTCAGTTGCTTGTAATGCTTCTGGACATTTAAAGACATATTGAATATCTTCAATATAAAGCTCACATCGTGAACAAATGGTATTTAGGTATTGATTAAGGTATAATTGGTGGAGTATGAAACAAGTTGAAAGAGCTTCTGAGAGTAATTTAATTCTGAAGGCTATTAGAGTGCTGTACTTGTTGTTATAAAACTTTTTGATATTTTTGTTGGATTAATTGATGACTTTTAAATCATACAGAATATGTGTTTATCTAAATATTTGGATGACTGAGAAGCTTTCACATATTATGTAGTCTCTGGTAATGCTGAAAATTTTCTTGTATCATCTGATGCTACTATCTAAGCAAATATTGTTGATTAGAAGATTTTCAGGAAAGTGTAGTAGAAGATTGTTTCATTGAATAGTTCTGGTTGATATTGGTCTGGACTTGATTTGATATATATAATTTTTATGGATTTCTGTTATATATATCGATTTATTTTCTGGGATAGCAAGGAAAAGTTAATTTTAACCATTCTTCTCAAATACTCAGGTACTAATTGAAGGATTTTTTTGTTGCTTCTGATTTCAATAGTGAAATGAGCTGGAATTCCCTAAATGATATCAAAGATTGCCAATAGAATGTTGCCTGATGGTAAGCAGAAGTTGAGTGGTCTTATTTCGATTTCATTTATAAATAGATTACTTTTGTATGATTAAATATGATAATATTGTTGTAAGCTGAGATTAGTGTTACAAATCGTTAGTTGGAAAGTTTAAAATTAATCAATCAGAATTCAAGATTTTTAGTTGCAACTAGTTGATTATATTGAAAACAACTAATCAATTAGAAAAATTTTTGCCAACTAAGATCACTA